GAAGGGAAGATTGCATCAATAGACCCAAGTACAAATGTGCATCACGTGCCACTAGGACGAGATTGTTGGAAGGTTTGGGTTGACGAGGTGTACATGAGTCATTTGCCCTTATATAGACCAACGGAAGAATTTCGAGTTCTTAGTGACGCCATAGGAAGTACTATTGCTTGGCCAAAGAGCTGCATTAGACTTATTTGACGAAGGTACTTTATAAATTTCTACATTTTTTTTATTTACGTATTTGTCATTAAACATGTTTCAAGAGTGGCTATATATGTGTGCATACACAAGTTTACAACCTTGAATGTGGAAGTTTGTTCATGGCATTACTAATGAGTGCACAATGGCTTCTCTTAAAAAAGAAATTGATCTTATTTTTAAAAATCAATCAAGTTTTAATTATGAGCTTGTATTCTTGAGTGTGTGATTCAATTTTTTTCTTTAAATGACATAAATCTGCTGTTATATACGTTGAATGAGTATAGACTGGTTATGTAAGAAGAATGAATATAGTTGTGTCTTAAAAAGCTTTAAATGACATTGTATTGTTTCTAAATTGTTTGCTCTTTTTGATTAATTTGTTGTTATATTCTTTCTTTCTTGCAGTTACATGGAGCTGAAGTGAGTTCGAAAATTTCTTTTGAGCTTGTATCGTCTTGGATCTCGTCTATGTAAAAAGATTTGGCTGGGACTCGTTAGAAGCTTCGGTTATGAATCGTTTACATAACTTTTAGACATTTTTCATAGTTCTTTGGTTATATGGTGTATATTTTTGAATTGAAGTATTTATTATGTTTTGATGAAGTAATATTGCATATCGGATCGTGTTTATTGGCTTAATGAAGCACTTTTAATTTTTTGTTGGCTTAAGGTACTTGTGCGTAGATAGTAAAAATATGTTTTTAATTCACAGGTTTAATTGGCAGAAAAAATATAAAATAATTGATCAGAAAGATAAAAATGACATTTATGACAAACTCCAGTTTCGGCAACGTGCAAGAGCACGTTGCAGAAACTTGGTTTCGTTGCAAGTTTTGGCAACGTGCAAGAGCATGTTGCCGAAACTTGGTTTCGGCAACGTGCAATGCACGGTTTCGGCAACGTGCATTGCACGTTGCCGAAGAAGCAGAAAAAATATAAAATAATTGATCAGAAAGATAAAAATGACATTTATGACAAACTCCAGTTTCGGCAACGTGCAAGAGCACGTTGCAGAAACTTGGTTTCGTTGCAAGTTTTGGCAACGTGCAAGAGCATGTTGCCGAAACTTGGTTTCGGCAACGTGCAATGCACGTTGCCGAAACTCATTGCTCTATGGCAACGTCTCATCCCACAACAGACGCCTGAACGTTGCCATAAGTCTACGGCAACGTTTTCTGCCTGTTGCCAAAAGTGGTTTTTGGTGTAGTGAATTTTACCAAGGTTATCTTTCAATCCACTATTTAATTTTGATCACACAATTTGATCAAGGTCATCTCATATACCTATCATGCTTTTCAAGCATAAACCAACTCAATTGGTTCCATAATTGAAGTCATATTCAATGAATAAAAAAAAAAATTTCTTAATTCACAAGAATTGCAACTTCTCCAATCTTTTTACAACTTATCACTTTCACGAGATAGCATTATGTCATATTGGATAATAAGATACATGTTTACCTTATTCACATTTGGACAAAATCACATTTTGTCATATTCTTATACAAATATAATCTTACATAAGATCATTTTTACTACCATTTTCAAAGATATCAAGCATCACTGCCAACTATAGACATAATTTTGTGTTCTATAAAATGATTCCATGTCTCAGTAATTGCGCAAACAATTTCTAATAGAACATAACACAATTTGTCATAATTCAAGCAAATGCACTTGTACTTTAATCAAATTCTCTTTAATTTGATCATACAAATTTGACCAATGTCAACACATAGACCAAAGAATGTATGCAACTTACCAAACTAGTGACACTTCACAAGATAGTAACATTTGTTTCCAACGTGTGTCATTTTATTTTAAACAATAAGGCACCTATTAAAAAAATAGCAATATTCCTTCAATGAAAGTTCATGTACTTTCAACAAAATGATCGCATCCTTTCAAACATTTATACATTTCACATACAATTTTAGAATATTGGTAGTTATGGAAACTTCAAAATGAATAGACACAATCTTTCATTTTTAATTTAAACACTAATTCTCACACCAATTCAAATTACACATAAACAGGTGTAAGCATCGCACTCTTTCATATATAAGCATCGCACTCTTTCATATATAACTGTTCATAAATGAATCATTTCAATTTTAATGAAATGCTACTGACGGTTATACAAAGAAAATTCCACGAACCAGAAAATTCAATGTATGGCCAAAAGTCACGAATAAATTCACCGGTTCACATTGCAGCAATGTATGCATTTAAATATATATATTATTTTCCATCAGCATCTATCATTTGATCATTAAGTATGCATCATATAAATTACTATCCATTTACTGAGTTTTGTCTTCTTCCAGTAACGTATGTCAAAACTGGATTTGAGAACAAAATACTGGTGCATGATGATGTATGATATTAAATCCATTTTATCAATATCCACGTAAATTATGCATACTGAAAAGGTTCAAATTCATGGTCCTTGACTAATTATGGAAAAACACGCATAGGCAGCCATGTATTTTTGGCCATTTCAACCATAATTAAATAAATTAGAAAGCACTTATCTGCAGTTTTTTCCATTGACGGCAAACCAGATTCAATCTTTTCATTCTTCAATCGGAAACCTTTCTTTCCAAATGTTCTAGATTTCTTTGACAGAATTTGTCACACCAACCAATCCAAAACAAGATCTTGAATCATCAACTTGATCGTCGCTAAAGTGATTTCATTCTCCATCGCCAAAATATCGTTTGAGATTGTTGGAAATTTATGCCATCGGGGAAAATGGAGATGAAAATTAAGAAATAGAAATTCAAGAAGATGTAAATTAACAAGGAAAACAAACCAATATGGAAGGCTCAAACACGAAAATGATTCGTTGTCCTCAAACGATATTTGCCCCTTCTCGTATACAAATTTGGTGCTTAAAAGATTTTATGGCAAATAGTTCGTAGGATTGATCAAGCCTTGTTGTAGAAAATCACAAAAGCACAAATGATTTTTCCACCCGAATCTTGAAGAACACTTGAAAAACATGAATATGGAGGGAAAAAAGTTTAATTCTTTCATGTGGATTTGTTTATATGTTTTTTCACATACTTGTGATTATTTTTCAATGTCCATTAATCACTTATTTATAGACATGAAACATTGCCACACGAAAAGGTGTCAAAACGAAATGAAAAGCCGCCAAAATTCAAACCAAAAATTGTCCAACGGTCCCTAATTTATAACCATGCGACCGCATGGTTTTAACCCATGCGGCCGCATGGTTTATCCAGTCCGAGGCCATGTGGCCTCGGTACATCACCGTGTGACCGCATGGATATTTGCCCATGTGGTCGCATGGGCCAAATTTTGGCCCTGCTCAGTGTTCAATTCCGTTTTCATTTCGATTTCAATTTCGTTTTCATCCTATACACTGTTTATTGATTGTGAACAATATTTTCCATCAACTGATGGCATCTTCAATGTTGTGGTTTGAACATACGTATCCCATTGGCAATTTTAGATTTTAAACCATCCATGAATGTCCCGATAAGGGCCTTCTGTGTCCATCCTCTAACCTGATTTCCAAGCCTCTCAAACTCCCGTTGGTATTCTCTCAAAGAGGTTACCTGTTTGACCCGTAAGAGGGCCTCATCGAAGTCCTCACAATCTGATGGCTCAAACCGAGCCCATAGCTCATCTTCGAAGTCTTCCCAGGATAGTACCCTCCCTTCACTTCTGTATGTCCTCCGGAGCCACTGCCACCATTGGTTTGCCTCGCCCTCTAAGTGAAAAGTTACTAAGGATACTTTTTGAGCTTCGGGAATGGCTTGGGATTCAAAGAATTGGTGCACACGGTTGAACCGTTCTGTAGGATCATCGCCCATGTATCGCGAAAATTCCAATTTTGCCATTTTTGAAGAGCACGCTAATCGTATTCCTTCAGTGTCTTCATGTAGGTTGTCATTATGGCAGTTCCGTGAGTTTTCTCCTCATTCATTATTGTGGAAAGTATTATTAGATCCTTCCCCAGACGAACGCAGCATTCCAGTTATGCAATTGAAGTTCTCCTCCATATTCTAGAACTTATCAACGAAACCCAACTCCATGCGGTTCATTCCTTCTTGAAGGCCACTAAGCCCAGCCTCCAAGTTCTCAATTCGTTCCTTGTTGTTTGACATTTCTCAATAACCCCGCTCTGATACCACTAATAGCGGTCCCGATCAAAGACAAATAAAATATGA